ACATAGTACTTCAGAACAATAGAAACGAAGAAAGACGACAAGAATTCTTTAGAAACTGATTTAAGTATATTTGGTTTTTCTCAAACAATTTATCAAGATTTAGCCCAATAAAAGAAATTTTGGAACAGAAAACAAAATTTCAGATAATCCAGGACATAGAAATATCCTGTACAAGACTAATAGCTAGATTACAGCTGACAAATAATTATAAAATAGGAGCTATATTAATATTACTACAAACAATAAAGGACCTAGCACCAGCAATAGAAACACCAACAGGAGTAATATTTAATTATAATTCAAGGAAAACACAAGACCTGTATATCAGAAAATTAAACGTACTTCAAGTACAACTAGGATCAGTATGCAACAAGATATTTGAAAAAATACCAACAAACGGACATACATTATTACCAGGAAAACTATCAACAATCTCTAATAATATCATACAAGCTCTACAGAATATATACTTTGAAGAAGGAGCAAATATAATAATCTACGAAGACGAAAAAATACTTGCGGAATTAAGCAAGAAAGGAGTAAGAAAGTATATCAAGGACCAACAGATAAAGGAGCTAATTGAAAAAAGAACTAAGGAATTAATCGACGAAATAAACAACTTAAAAATAGAAGAAGAAATAGAAGAAATACAAGAAAAGAAAAGATATAGGAAATATACGAATGAATAAGTGGAAAAAGATTAACATAGAAAAATACTTCGATATATACTATAAATTAGAAGGATTCGGATCTAAAAAGAAAAAAGAAAACTTTACCATTGAAGAATCGGTTACAACATTCGAAAAACTCCATCAAGAACTTAAAGACGAATTCTTTGACCACGAAAGAAAAATATAGCATAGTTTATACTCCATACTCCAAAGAGAAGAAGGAACTCAATACATATTTTATATAATTGATACATCCAGAGAAATAATATACTATACTACGGAATACTTAAATCACAACCCAAACTCAAAGGATTACATTTTCATAAAAAACGAAGAAGAAAGATTAAATTGGATAAGAAAAACACTCCAATCAAGTTTACAATCACTTATTATAACGTTATATTGAAAAGTAACAAATCATAGCATAGGAGAAAAAGAACACGAAATAGAAGACTACAAAGAATTCAGAAAATACCACAAACAATTTTGGAATGACACACTGGAAATTCCCAAACTCTGAATTACTATTTGAAGAATATTATTCAATAAACTATAAACTTGACGAAGTGATAAATGGACCAAAAAAGAAACTGACAATTCAACAATCAATAAAATTAACCAATATATTGAAACAAGACTTAGAAGAAGAATTAGAAGAAATAGTTTTAAGAAGCGCGGTATTAGATAAAAAACCACTGGACATATATAACTGCTATCAAAATCCTGACTATTATTGGATAACTAGTGAAATACTTTATATACAAAACACACTAAACTCAAAGTTCAAAAAAGAAGACGAACCTTACATAGGAAAGAAAATAGAAGACTGGGAAAGAGAAACAAGACAAAAATACTATAGTAATCATATAGAAAGAATATACCAAAAAAGGACAGAAATTGATATAAAATTCAAGTATTGGGGAAACAAAATAACAGGGAAAAATACCTGGAAAGAATTATATGAACACCATGCAAAATATTGGAAACCAATTTGGAGAGAATCTGAACCAAAACTACAGCATATTCGAGGAACTCTGGAACCAAAAGGACCAACAACAAGAATGTACGAACAACTTGGATACACTACAAATAAATCCGGAAACAATGGCATATCTGGACAGACCATTGATTTTACATGACCCGCTGAACTTACCTAGAAGAATAATGACCCAAGCAATACCATTCACAACACGGATTATATTTTATTAGAACAAAGAATAAATCCTAACAAATCGTTTTTTGGAACATTTAATGAAATGAGAGGAAAAGGAAAACTTAATAATTATGGAATACCAATAGAAACCATAGAAGCAGCAGCTCATAGAGAAATATTCGAAGAAGCACAATTAGTAGTAAAGAATGAAAAATTAATCAAAATACAAGAAAACTCATACTATTCAGACCAAGAATGGATAGCTACAGGATGCCCAGCTGAACAGGCAAAATACCTGATAACACTAGGATTATTTATATTTAAAATAGAAAATGAAAAACCAAAAAATACTGAACCAGAAACATTAGGACCATGGCAAATATACTCGCTAAATCAAATTGAAGAACAACAGTTACCACTAATACCAATGATCCAACACAACTTACATCATATATTTCACCAAATAAGGGATTACCCAGTACTACAAATGATTAATAGATTAAACTTCACAAAAGAAATCAAAGTAATGACAAATCAAAGAAAAATATACCCTGGAATATTTGAAGAAGTAGATTCAGAATTCGAACAAGAAAAACTGACAGAAATGACCGAACAAGAACTAGAAGACCTAATGAAAGATAAAGAAAAAGTCACTTCGAAACAAATCCGAAAAGCAATAAAACTAAAACAAAAAATACAAAAAAGAATAGCACCGCTAAAACTAATAGAAAAACGAGTGCTCAATTTAGAAAATATTTTAAAAGGATACAAATATCTATCTATATTTGAAAAGAAGGACCGACCAGAAGTCGCTACAATAATGGAACGATACCCCAGAATAACCGACCTAAAGAAGTTACCAGATAAAATACTAAATAAAGCCAAACAACAATTGTATTATTATACATTATTCTACAATGGAAACGAATACGACAAACACAAGACTATCAAGTTACGCTTGTAACCATGAACTACTTGATGAACGAATATGAAAATCTAACCTTAATCTAGAAATTACCGGCAACACAAAATCCGGCCACCTAATTGTTAACCTTAGCCACGCTAGGGTAAGGGTCAGGCAGATAAATTGACATCATCGGCGTAACCTGTCACAGATTTGGGATGTGCTATGGAAACAAATCCGCCCATATGACCATTCCATTCATCCTTCAGCAGATACTGTATTGGAGAACTTTGTAAATATAGCAAAAATTACAGTTGGCTCTAGGGACCAACCCAATCTTTTTTTTATACAGTATATATTTGCAAACTTTAATGCAGAATAATCGGGTCCCGGTTCAATCCAGGGTTTTGATGATACAGTTTTGGGTTTGGGTAAAGAATCGAATCGAACTTTCGATTCGAGCTCGGTTTTGTAAAAATTTGTACGAATCGGACCGTATGGAAAACACAACATTGAATCGGATTTACTTATTGCGAAGCAAAAAAAGAAATTTTAATTTTGTAAATAAACAAAGTACATAAAAAAGATGTTTATGTTAGGTGTTAGCATTAGAGGCCATAGTGATAGATTGAAACTGCTATAAAAAAAGGATAAATTAAACCTAATATGTTCGTCCTTCAAGTGGTGTGAACTTAATGTCATAAAAAATCACAGTAATACTGAATTCCAAGTACGTTTAACAATGTATTAGTGAATTATAAAAAAAATTTATATATGTAATGTAAAAGCAGAATGGATTTTAGATATTCGTTTTATTAAAAAATTGGGCATTATTTTTGACGCCTATTGTACGTCTATCCTCAACTAAGAACGAGGGCACACATTAATATATGTATTATGAATTACACATAATACATAGATCATCTTATCATCTCACACAATCGAAGACCACTGAGAATACTTCTAAATGCATAATCATAACCAATACTCTAAAGGAATAATAGCTCAGATATACTGTATGGCATACGCACGTACGTACGTTATGAAAGGGTAGACTGTGGATGAATTTTTTTCGCATATATGTATATTGAATTTAGTGCTTTTCGTACTTTTTGAACTTAGCTTCCTGCACGTTTTGAACTGAACTTCCTGTACTTTGTGAACTTATTGGATGTTGTATTTTACCTATTTTGGCAGAATTAGTGAGTAAGTTAATAAGTGTCGCAGCAATGTAAAATTTATAAATACTGTACAACCCTTTTTCACGTTAATAAAGCTAACTCACTCCGAGTTCAAAACTCAACTCAGAGTTCAACATTTTAAAGATGTTTGTTCTACTAATTCCCCTGATAAGTCCAATTTGCATAGAATTAGTAGTATAATCTCATTATCCTGAATTAGAGCTTCGTCACATAATCTAGGGCTCTAATCTAACACCCTAATTATTCGAACCAAATCTTACAACGCCTAGGGTTTAGGTTAAATGGTGGTATAATGTGTTATTTTAGGTAGTGTTATTGATATCTATGACCCGTATTTCGTGAAACTGCCACTTTTACAACCTACGTACGTACGTATTGACTTAATAATTGTGCAGAGATACTCGCATCTACTTAATAAAACAGGCAATTCTTTCCAGAAATAAAATTTTTAAAGTTTTGACGTAATATGCATTAATAATTATTAAGAATTGGATAGATCAGCCTGGCAAAGATCGTCTCGGTTTATAATAAGACCGGTCTATTTTAATGCTTTGTGGTCTGGTCTCAGATCTAAAAATGGTTAAAATCTAACCATTTTATTTGTTAGCCGAAGGCATGATGCCAGTAATTAATGCTACAAATTTTTCTGATAGGAGGCCGAATAACTTGAAAATCGGTTAAATATTAGACTTATTTGGATAATTAAATTTAAATTTCACAAATATTTATTTATCCAAAAAATATATAAATGCTGTTTGAATTCAAAAGTATAAATCAATTTTATCAATCATGTATACAATTTTAATAATTTCCCTTGCTCTATTTATTGTTTCTTGTTGGTTAATTTTTAGAACAAACTGCAATGATAATCGCAGCTATAATTTGTTGGTAATATTGTCAGCTCTTGTAAATAATGGTTTTCTGTGGTTTGGAAAAAAAATCACGTACGCTTAAATTATAATATTTTCTTTATAAATTATAGTGACAGTAACTAATTTAATTTTTTTTATTTAACATGCAAGAAATCTTAAAAGACGACTTTATACACCAACATATTTAATTCTTAATGAATGGCTGGTTTTTTAATTTCAAAAGTAATTTATGAACTTACAAACCTTGAAGTTGCTGACATAATCAAAGCTCAAGGTGGAAAAATGAATGTATATGATATTGCAAAAGTGACTGGAACTAACGAGGATAAATTAAGTAAATATCTGAAAAGTGTACAATGATATACTAGGAATAGTAAAGTTTATATTCTGATTTTCCAAATTTGTATTTGTATTTTTTCAATAGATCGTCTCCTCCGTGTTGCAGTATCTAAAGGTATCTTTCATTCCCTTGGTAATGGTGTATACGCTAATACTCACCTATCGTTAGTGCTATGTAAAGACCATCCAAACACATTTCGCAATATTATTTTGCTGTACAAAGAATATTCTTTAGCAACTTAATATTTAGCTTATGATTTGAAATTACAAACTGAGAATAAAGAAGAGCAAATGACTTCATTTTCAAAAGCTCATGATGGAATAGGGGCATTTGAATGGTGGTCATTGCCTGAGAATAAAGAAAGGCAAGAGATTTTTAATAAAGGGATGATTGAGCAGGATGCTATATACGGCAAAGGTCTTATTCAAGGTTTGTAAAAAAAAAAAAAATTAATGTATCCATATTAACAAAACTTAATAATAATTATTTAATTGATCTTTTTTTTAATAAGATTATGATTGGTCGCAGCATAGTAATGCAAAATTTGTAGATGTTGCCGGAGGGAGTGGTGGTTTTTTGTCCCAATTATTAACACGCTATCCAACAATGAAGGGTGTTCTTTATGATTATCCTAGCGTTATTGAAATGTCTGAGCAGGTTAGTTTATTTTAACCAAAATTTTTTAACTTACAATAAAGAAACTTATATAATTTTGTTATTTTATTAAGGTATGGTTGACAAATCATAAAGAATTGTTAGATAGAGTTCAATTCTTTCGAGGTACTTGTTTAATAAACGCCGTATTAACCTCCATTAACTTCATATATTAAAATACCTATGATTATACCTTTAATTATTTTAATAAAGGTGACTTCTTCATAAATCCACCCCATCCTCCGATGTTTACTTTCTTCGCTCCATACTTCATAATTAGCCTGACGAACAAGCCATTAAAATTCTTAAAACAATTCACTCTGGCATTCCTTCAAATAATGCTAGCACGTCTTGTCATGAAACGCCTTCATACTTCAAGTCAAAGCCAAAGCTTCTCATAGCCGAAATATTGATTGATGATCGAACTCAGTTTCCTCTTATATATCAATTAGACATCCTGATGATGTGCATGTATAATGGTAAAGAAAGAACAAAATCAGAAATTAAGGAGTTATTAAACAAATCTGGATGGAAGTTGACGGAAATTACTTATTGCAGAGGTGGGTTTAGTGTCATTGAAGCAGTTCCGCAATAAAGGTGAAGAAATATAACAAAGTAAATTCAATAGGCAGAAGAATATTAAATACAAACTGCCTTCTGGTAAATATATATATATATAAACATATATGATATGTACACTCTTTTTTATACATTTTCTTGTAATTTTCCAGAATTTAATAATTCAAAATTCAAAATAAATATTGATTTGTAACATTATTTGGTAACATTATCTAACAGACCCATAATTTAATAGCTTAATGGTTAATATTTCGGATTTTTGAAAAAAAAATTAAAATATTGAAACTTTTGCAGTATTTATTTTTTAAAAAGCAGAACGCTTGTTTTTTCTATAGTTAAATATTTTTTATAATTATCTGTTCATAAGCATACTAAAGAGGGCTTGAGCATATAAGGCGATAGTAGTTGAAGGATGTTGTAATTAGTGGCAAATGTTTGTATTTCTTGTAATGTATGCATACTGTTTATGGTAAGGGATCAAAATATTTAACATGTTTAAAAGTTATTGAATTTTATTTTTTAAAAATTAAATATTTATTGGTTAATTATTGAGAAATTTTTACTAGAACGTGGGAAATCAATAGTAGAACTTCTTAAATACTTGATCGCGTTTAGATAGACTGCGATTATGATACGCATGCAAGTTTGGCTCTCTGGGCGATTTGATTTTATAATAGTTAGATAGATGTTGATAACGAATGAATAAAGGTTTATTAGTTTTCCATATATATTGTGATAGTAGATATAGAGTAGCAATATACCGTTTTCGTTACATTTTCACTCACATAACAATTATCATTAAGAGGATTATCACGATAAAATGAAATACTATAATCAAATCGATAGAATTATAGATGAAACAATGAAAACAAACCTAAAAAAAACATAGCTATATGTTTAATATCATTAGCTTGTTTTTTAAAATTTCTTGCAAATCTAATCTAATCTCATTTCGATACAATTACACCATAAGACACTTAATTATACTTTATTAGTACCCATCAATATATATTTTATTTAACGCTTATGTTCATTCTTTTCGATTCCAATTCAATAAGATAATGATATCAAAGACACTTCACTATCAAAAATTTGCCTTTTATTGATACATACATGGAAAAACTTTATAATTTGCTTAAATAATTTTATTACGACTAATTAAACATTTATGCTTCTTTCTAGTGCATCTAATATTATTCAAAAGTCAGTAAATATTTGAAATAAAAAGAATACATTATGTTCATCTTTTCAACTTTAATTCTTTAACCGAGATTGGTTATTCAACTAAATTCTCATATCTGCGGATTTTCGATAATAAACGTATGCCTTATATTCATCTACTTTAACTCCAATTCCATTTCGATAACAATTTCCAATATTAGTCATTCCGTTGGCATTCCCCATATCAGCAGCTTTTTGGTAATAAATGAATGCTTTGTGTGAATCCTTTTCAATTCCAATTCCTTTTTCGTAACAATATCCTAGACTGCACATTCCATTAGAATCTCCCATGTCAGCAGATTTTTGACAATAAAGGAATGCTTTGTGTTCATCCCTTTGAACTCCAACTCCATGAAAATAGCAATATCCAAGGCAAATCATTCCATTAGTATTTCCCATATCTGCAGATTTTTGATAATAGACAAATGCTTTATGTTCATCCTTTTCAACCCCAATTCCTTTCTCGTAACAATCTCCAAGATTGAACATCCCATTAGCACTTTCCATATCTGCAGATTTTTGATAATAAAAGAATGCCTTACGTTCATCTTTTTCAACTCCAATTCCTTTTTCATAAAAATATCCAAGACTATTTATTGCACTTGTATTACCCAGATTCGCAGATTTTTGATAATAAAAGAATGCTTTTTGTTCATCCTTTTCAATTCCAATTCCTTTTTCATAACAATCTCCGAGATTGTACAGCCCACTAGCATTATCCATATTCGCAGATTTTTGATAACAAAAGAATGCCTTATGCTCATCCTTTTCAACTCCAATTCCTTTTTCATAACAGTATCCAAGACTATTTATTCCACTAGCATTTCCCAAGTCTGAAGATTTTTGATAATAAAAAAATGCTTTATGTTCATCTTTTTTAACTCCAATACTTCTTTCATAACAATCTCCAAGATTGTACATTCCACTAGCATTCCCCATGTCTGCTGATTTTTGATAATAAGAAAATGCTTTATATTCATCTTTTTCGATGCCAATTCCTTTTTCATAACAATTTCCTAAATTGCTTATTCCACTAGCATTGCCCATATCTGCAGATTTTTTATAATAAAAGAATGCCTTATGCTCATCCTTTTCAACTCCAATTCCATTTTGATAACAACATCCAAGGCGAATGATTCCATATGAATCTCCCATATCTGCAGATTTTTGATAATAAAAGAGTGCCTTATTCTCATCTTTATTAACTCCGATTCCATTCTCGTAGCAAAAGCCAATATTATATAATCCAAGAGAATTTCCTAACTCAGCTGCTTTTTGAAAATGAATGAATGCTTGATAATTATCCTTTTTAATCCATTTTCCATAGGCGTAACAATATCCAAAAATATTTTGAATTATAGGATTTGTTTGGATAATGAAATTTAATTGATTATTCAAACATAAGTTAAATATTTCTTCTGGATTTTGTTGCTTATTTGTCATAAACCAGTCAATTGAATTGAGAATTGAGTTTGCAAAGTTCCCTTTCATAATTTCTTGATTATGTAGATTACATAATTCTTCGATAGCTTTAATCAGAAAATCTTGTGAATAGTCATTATGCGGTGTCGAATACACTAGTTTCGAAGAATTTTTTATTATCAATTCTATAGACTGATTATTATAAACGCTTTCTTTAATTGACATGATGCTTGACTAAAAACTTTGATTGTATGAATGTAAATATTTACATAATATACGTTATCGGAGTGAAATTCCGAATTGAAATTAATCGTAACACATTTACTTGCAAAGTGGTATTTTGTAGATCGCAATACTCATCTGATCACAATGATGTTTAGTGCAGCATAGATGCTGCAGATAAAAAAAATTATGAATTTTTTGGCATGATTGTACATATGCTGTATGCATGCCTGGTGAATGACGAATAGTTTCGTCATAACGAATGACGAAATAGCGAAATGCATGACGAATTATAGATTTGAAACTATGTGTTGTATATATGGGCATGTTAATTTTTGTGAAGTTAACTTTTTATAACGAACTAACAATTTAATAGAAAAGCTCGTTGTAAATTAAAAAATTACTGTGTTTTCATTTGTAATAAATCTTTATGATGATGAAACAATAGCAATTTCGAAAAATTTTAAGATCCAAAATATCCGGAGGTCGTTATAAAGAAGCTCGCCAACTCTATTTTTATATTTAATTAGTCAAATTTATTTCATCAAGAGTTCCTTTAATCGTCAATGGTTTCGTCACAGCAAGGTGATGCAGGTTCTGTTCGGCTAACGGCTCGCCATAGTGAAACTGAGCCCGTGCCATTTTTAACTGAGCCGTTCTTTAGCTGAGCTTCGGTTATGACTTATATTACGTATTACAACTGTTTTCATAAATTCTGGGAGCATGAAAAATTTCAGATGATTGAATTGATAAATTACCGAATCGAAATCAATGAGTAGCTGATTTCGGACGAAATCAAAATCTTATCGATTCTGTCATAGACAATTTTTTTCAGATTGTTACGGCTCTGGAACAATTGAAATATTGCAGATGACTGGATTAATAAGTTCTCGAGCTCAGCTGAAGTTGGTTACTTACTGGTAATTTATCGATTCAGTCATCAGCTCTATAAAAAAAAAATGATCCGGGATCGCACGGAAAAACAGTGTACATGTGTGAAGGTGGAAATTAGGAATTACAGAATATGGGCAATACGGATATCAACCCACACCAATATAATCTAAATCAACACACTAATAACCAAACTCCATCGAACCCTAATAGTGGCAGGCTACGAAAGAGGCGTGGAAGACTTGATCCGAGTTATTAGGGCCAATAGAGCTCTGGACTACGTCACGAAGCTTTATAAGATTACTTATCGGGGAATTAGGAGAACGAACTTTTATGAACTATATACACAAAAAGTTAACTGACTTTATTCAAGGCAAACTCTTAGCCCTTATATACTGTCGGAGGCTAAATGGGCGATAACACAAACCAAACAATCACCCAAAAACACAAAAACCACAGCCCACACCTCTCGATATACTCGATTGGTAGAGGTGGTACGATTTGGCAAGGTAAGGCTAAAATCGGGTATATTGTGGGTTTTAAACAATCGATTTTTATTTATTATTAAAACACATTCTCCGTGTCCTGTATTAGAGGGCGAAAAGAGCCCATTTTTATACATTTTACATGCGGGAAAAGAACTAAAGAAAAATAGAACTCTTTCTAATCTAAACCCAAGCCCCAACACGCCACTCCACGCCATGCCATGCCATGCCAGTAGAGCTTTGCCTTCTCCGGCTAAGCTTTTGGCACTGCCCAAACCCTAAATTGGTCCAATCCCGATTTTGTTTTCTTTGTGGCTTTTTGCCACACTTTTACCACATTTCAGCTGTGTCACAGCCACTATTTCCTGGGGATTTCATCTGGGCAGTTTTAGGCCTCGTGAGGTCAATTTTGACACAGCGTGTTTTGGCAATTTTGCCTTCAACAATACATTCTTTGGCAACTATCTAATTCGCCAATTCTATCTAACATATCTAACTAGAGGCCTGATCCAATGAATAGTATATTCGAATATTCATTGAATATTCGAATATTTAAATAAGATTTTTTTCACCAAATGAATATTCGAATATTTAATTTATTCACCAAATAATTCATTGAATATTCATCGAATATATAGTATATATATATAATTAATTAACTATAAAATTATTTATTAGTAAATATAAAATTTTTATAAATTAAAATA